AGCTGCTGTCAGTCGTTGGTCATCCCTCAGTAACCCCCCTGCCGGCCTGGTCGCCCCACACATACTGCTGTTCAGTCGTGTGGTTGTCCCTCACTAACCCCCCTACCGGCCTGGTCGTAGGCAGCCATCTTGTGAGGGTGTGAGGGTTAATTTGCATATCACCTCTTTATTATATAGAGTTGGTTGATTCTTATATGTGCCCTGACCGGGGATTGAACCTGCAACCTTGGCATATTGGGATGATGCTCTAACCAACTGAGCTACCCAGTTAGGACTGGGCACTCTCTTCTTATGGTCCCCACTTCTCCCCAACTCTGCATGGCTCTCTCCTTGGCATTCACAATGTGGCTCAAAGGGGCGCTCTTCTGCCCAGCCCAGACCCTCTCTGTCTGCATGGTTGTCTTGTTTCCTTCTTTGCATCCCTTTTTGTAGGTACAGCATTCCCCTCTTATGGTGAGTTTCACTTTCCACAATTTCAGTTCCTGCAGTCAACCACGGTTCAAAAATATTAAAGGAAAAACTCCAGAAATAAACAATTCATAATTTTTAAATGGCACGCTGTTCTGAATAGTGTGATGAGATCTCAAATGGCCCTGCTCTGTCCCACCAGGGGCGTGACCCATCCCTTTGTCCAGTGTCTCCACTCTGTAGATGCCCCCACCTATTAGTCACATAGTAGCCGTATCAGTTATCAAATCAATTATTGGGGTATCACAGTGCTCATGTTCAAGTCACCCTTATTTTACTTAATGCCACAGTAACATCACTTATAATATGTTATAATTGCTCTATTTTATTATTACTGTTAATCTCTCACTGTGCCTAAATTATAAATTAAACTTTATCATAGGTATGTATGTGTAGGAAAAAACAGTATATTTAGGGTTCAGTCTATCCATGGTTTCAGGCATTCACCGGGAGTCTTGGAATGTCTCTCCCAAAGATATGGGGGGCTACTGCATTTGGTTTGGTTGTACATCTCCCTCTCTGGGACACAAGCGCCATGAGAACAATCTGTGGCCATCTTAGTGGCTGACAGATGTCGGGTCACTGCCTGTGGTAGGGGGAACCATGGGGAGATATTCTGAGAAAGGCACCCTGGAGAGGGGAACACTCTTACCAGCCTGATGGAGTCCTCAAGCTGGGCCAGTGTGGCCCTAGCCTGGAACTGGCCATGCTGCAAATGGCTCAGGGTATGCTCGAAAGCCCGCTGGCGAAAGCCGTGGGCCAGGTCACCGAGACGCACGAAGTAACTGCTCTGGTCTGCTGCGGGTACCCTGGGCCCAGGCTCAGAAGCCACCAACTGAGCTGGAAGGGAAGATGGGATTACTCAACCCAAGAGTCCCCTTGTGGCATCCAGATCTTGGGTTGGACAGATGACAAGCACCCACTAGGACCGCTAGTCCTTACCTTGCTCCTCAGCGTTCATGGGTTGGAAGATCTCCCGCAGTTCCTCTGGGAGTGTCATGAAGCCCGTGACACCTTCATGGCTGTGCATGGTGGCCGTGCACCCCGCATCCTCTGTGCCCAGTGAGGTTCCTTGTGTGAATGCTGCCACAGTGGAACCAAGGCTCTGGGTACTTGCAATAGGTTCTGTGGCAAGGACATGGCTTGCACAGAGAGTGTCTGGGAGGCTGGAGACCATGCAGGATGAAGCCTCCAGGGGGTTCAGCACAGTTTGTTGCCCAAATTTGTCTGTCTCCTGGTCATTGGTGAGTCCACCATAGGAGCTTTCCCCAGCACCAGGTAACCAATTCTGTATAGTGCCCAGACCAATCTGGACAGCGCCCTTGGTCAAACCCATTGCCCCAGTGAGTCCAGTGGACACCGTGTCTTTGGTTCCCTTAAGAACAGTCTTCGAAGTATTTATGCCAGTTTGGGCGGCACCCTTAGCTACACCCATTGCCCCGGTGAGGCCAGTGGACACTGTGTCTTTGGTGCCAGTCAGGATGGTCTTGGAGGTGTCCACACCAGTCTGTACAGCATTTTTGACCACATCCGCTGCCCCAGTGAGGCCAGTGGACACTGTGTTTTTGGTTCCAGTAAGGATGGTCTTAGAGGTGTCCACACCTGTCTGAACAGCACCCTTGGCTATTCCCATTGCTCCGGTTAGGCCAGCGGACACTGTGTCTTTGGTGCCAGTCAGGACTGTCTTGGAGGTGTCCATGCCAGTTTGGACGGCACCCTTAGCCACACCCACTGCCCCGGTGAGGCCAGCGGACACTGTGTCTTTGGTGCCAGTCAGGACTGTCTTGGTGGTGTCCACGCCAGTTTGGACGGCACCTTTGGCCACACCCACTGCCCCGTGAGGCCAGCGGACACTGTGTCTTTGGTGCCAGTCAGGATGGTCTTAGAGGTGTCCACACCTGTCTGAACAGCACCCTTGGCCATTCCCATTGCTCCGGTTAGGCCAGCGGACACTGTGTCTTTGGTGCCAGTCAGGATGGTCTTAGAGGTGTCCACACCCGTCTGAACAGCACCCTTGGCCACACCCATTGCTCCAGAAAGTCCGGTGGACACTGTGTTTTTGGTGCCAGTTAGGATAGTCTTGGAGGTGTCCATGCCAGTTTGGACGGCACCCTTGGCTACATCCATTGCCCCCGTGAGGCCCGTGGACACTGTGTTTTTGGTGCCAGTCAGGACTGTCTTGGAGGTGTCCATGCCAGTTTGGACGGCACCCTTGGCCATTCCTATTGCTCCAGTGAGTCCGGTGGACACTGTGTCTTTGGTGCCAGTCAGGATGGTCTTTGAGGTGTCCACACCCGTCTGAACAGCACCCTTGGCCACACCCATTGCTCCAGAAAGTCCGGTGGACACTGTGTTTTTGGTGCCAGTTAGGATAGTCTTGGAGGTGTCCATGCCAGTTTGGACGGCACCCTTGGCTACATCCATTGCCCCCGTGAGGCCAGTGGACACTGTGTTTTTGGTGCCAGTCAGGACTGTCTTGGTGGTGTCCATGCCAGTTTGGACGGCACCCTTGGCCATTCCTATTGCTCCAGTGAGTCCGGTGGACACTGTGTCTTTGGTGCCAGTCAGGATGGTCTTAGAGGTGTCCACACCCGTCTGAACAGCACCCTTGGCCATACCCATTGCTCCAGAAAGTCCGGTGGACACTGTGTTTTTGGTGCCAGTTAGGATAGTCTTGGAGGTGTCCATGCCAGTTTGGACGGCACCCTTGGCTACATCCATTGCCCCCGTGAGGCCAGTGGACACTGTGTTTTTGGTGCCAGTCAGGACTGTCTTGGTGGTGTCCATGCCAGTTTGGACGGCACCCTTGGCCATTCCTATTGCTCCAGTGAGTCCGGTGGACACTGTGTCTTTGGTGCCAGTCAGGATGGTCTTAGAGGTGTCCACTCCCGTCTGAACAGCACCCTTGGCCATTCCCATTGCTCCGGTTAGGCCAGCAGACACTGTGTTTTTGGTGCCAGTCAGGACTGTCTTGGTGGTGTCCATGCCAGTTTGGACGGCACCCTTGGCTACGTCCATGGCCCCCGTGAGGCCAGTGGACACTGTGTCTTTGGTGCCAGTGAGGACTGTCTTGGTGGTATCCACACCGGTCTGGACAGCACCCTTGGTCATACCCATTGCCCCGGTGAGGCCAGCGGACACTGTGTCTTTGGTGCCAGTCAAGATGGTCTTGGAGGTGTCCACACCAGTCTGGACGGCACTCTTGGCCACACCTACTGCACCGGTGAGTCCAGTGGACACAGTGTCTTTGGTGCCAGTGAGAACCGTCTTGGTAGTGTCCATGCCAGTTTGCACGGCACCTTTGGCTACACCCATTGCTCCAGAGAGTCCGGTGGACACTGTGTTTTTGGTGCCAGTTAGGATGGTCTTGGAGGTGTCCATGCCAGTTTGGACGGCACCCTTGGCTACATCCATTGCCCCTGTGAGGCCAGTGGACACTGTGTCTTTGGTGCCAGTGAGGACTGTCTTGGTGGTGTCCACACCAGTCTGGACAGCACCCTTGGCCATTCCTATTGCCCCAGTGAGGCCAGTGGACACTGTGTCTTTGGTGCCAGTCAGGATGGTCTTAGAGGTGTCCACACCTGTCTGAACAGCACCCTTGGCCATTCCCATTGCTCCGGTTAGGCCAGCGGACACTGTGTCTTTGGTGCCAGTCAGGATCGTCTTGGAGGTGTCCACACCAGTTTGGACGACACCCTTAGCCACACCCACTGCCCCGGTGAGGCCAGCGGACACTGTGTCTTTGGTGCCAGTCAGGACTGTCTTGGTGGTGTCCAGGCCCCCCTGTACAGCCCCTGTCGCCATATTCACAGCACCAGTCACTCCACTGCAGATGGTGTTCTTGGTGTCAGTCAACACCATCTTGGTGGTATCCACACCAGTCTGAAAGGTCCCTTTGGCTATATCCACTGTCCCTGCGACCCCACTGGCCACAGCCTCCTTGGTTCCTGTGTGCTCAGGTTGGCACATGCCAAGAGCTCCCTGAAGCACACCTTTAGCTGAGTCTGTCACGTTGGCCACTCCGGAGGAGATGGCGTCTTTCGTTTTGGTCATCGTGGAGCACACCTGGTCCTTCACCCCAGAGATCATCTGATGAGAAAGGACATGTGTGGTCAAGAGCAGAGCTGGGAGGCAGACTTCTGCCAGCCTGATTCCTGATGGGCCTGGTAAGTGGTATCTGTCACCCAGAGGCCCTGCCTCCTCCTTCGCACCCCCGAGCTACCCATGGCCTTCTAGGACACAGCCTTCACAAGCCCCATCACTACGTCAAATTACTCCTCCGATCCAGTAGGTCCCCTGCTGACAGCGGGTCCCTAACACCTCTGCAACCCTTGACAAGGTGCCTTGGTGGTATCCATGCCTTAGGCTCAGCAAGCCATTGAATTATGTTTTTTTGTTCGTTTTTAGCAGAATTTGAGCCTGGTTTCCCCATTACAGTGGGGAGACCAAATTGTTCATTAAAATGAATGTATTCAACTAAGAGAAGGGAATAAACATTTGGAAAAGTGGTAACCACACAAGTAAGGGACAAGTATTGGGTTCGAGCCATAGGAAATTGTCAATAACTAATTATTTTTAACCTACCCAATGGCAGTTTCAACCAATACCAAAGGGTTGTAATGGCCTCAGGGTTGCCACCACTCAGGTTCAGCCATGAGTGTGCTATTTTTAATCCAGTGATTCTCACCTGGGGAGATCCAGCCGTCCCCCCCCCCCCATCTCCCCGGAGACATTGGGCAAGTTTGGGGACATCTGTGATTGTTGTGACTGGGGGCACAGGGCGCTACTTACATTGATTGCCTGTGGGCCTGGCATGCTGTGCAACACCCCATAGTGCCCAGGACAGACCCACAACCAAGAATGATCCTGCCCCAAATAGCCACAGTACTGACATTGAGAAGTTTATTCTCATTACCTGCTTCCCGCCCAGAATTAAATCAAGTGGGCACCTTGGGCTCTGTGCCCGCAGAGACCCAGGTTCAAATCTCAGCTTTCTTGTAAAAGCCACATTCCCCTCTCTGAGCCAGTTTCTGAAAAGTGATTAAAATAGCACCACCTTCACGGATTATGGATGAAGGATTATCTGCACTTTGCAGATAGTAGGTGTTCAGTTAACATGAGTGGAGAGGAGTAGAAAAGAATTGCATAAATGGAGAAGGGGTGAGGGGTCTGTTTTAATTTCAGCCAGAAGGACCTGTTGAGGTTCTTCCCCTTCTGAGATGCTAAGATCTGCTTGGGCTGCGGGCAGAGGGAGACTAGGAAGACCAGAGTGGGGGCATGTGCCGGGCGGGGGAGTTCCTATCAGGGCTCTGCACCCTCTGCGGCCTCAGCTGGCTTACATCGGTCCCTCCACTTGGCCCAGCCTTGGGGACAGGATAACATGGGCAGGCCTCATGTATTCAGGACCAAGGGTGGATGCAGCGTTGGTGTAGTTCAGCCTCTGACTGCCCCTGGGTTCAAGTCCCAAACTACCGTGACCTGCTATATGACTTTTGGCAGGCGGCTCAGCTTCTCTGTGCCTCAGCTGTCGTGCGGGGTGCTTACTCCCTTCCTCACAGGGTGGTTGGGAGGATTAACTATTAAGCAGCACGTATAAAGCACAGTGTCCAGAGCCTGACACACGGTGAGTTGCCGCTGTTTGGTTCCCATCATGCTAGACAGAGAGTGAGGGCCGGTCTGTAGTTTGGAGCCTGTCCGTGTGGGCAGTGAGGCAGTACTGCACCCATTTCACAGATGTGGCAGTGGAGGCTTAGAGGGACGTCTGCTCTCTCCTTGGGCAGGAACCAAAACATTCCCGAGGGAGGCAGAGGCCATCAGACCAGGCTCTGACAGCCACTTACCTTGTCCGAAGGCGACGGCAGCTTTTCCACCTCCCTGGCCATCTGCTTCGGGTCGGTAGCTGCTATGGGGACAGAAGCTGGTCAGGCACCCCAGGGAATGCGAGGGAAGCGGGCTGGCATCAGCTGCTCTGGTGCCCATTGCGCAATTGGCGGGCACAGCCCAAAAGGTCAGGAATGTCCCAGCCACTCCGCCAGGGACAGCAGGAGGTGACATCTGTGGCCATGGGCTTGGCTCCTTTCGACCCCCCAGGACCTCAGTCCCCTGGAACTGAGGATCTCCCTGGTGTTTTCTCCACCTGGGTCCTGGGTGCTGGACGCCCACCCAGGGAGATTGCAGGGAGAGGAGTCGGGGCCCCGCCCCACCTCTGCTACAGCTGGCAGTTGCCTGTCAGGCCTGGGTATGTGGAGCAGAAGTCAGCTGCCAAGGGCTCGGCCCAGAATGAGGCCTAGCCCGGGCAGACACCCAAACCTGGGTCTTCTCCCCCTCCCCCACCCCTGCACCAGCCCCCCGATGTGTCCCGAGTACTCTGGCTGAGTAACGAGGGTGGGGAGACCCCCAGGCTCTGCCATCCCAGGGAAGCCACTGTCCCTCTTGGGGAACCAGGATTGCCATCCCCAACAAGGTCTGCCTGTAGAACACCCAGGCCCAGGTCACAGGCATCAGAAATGGGTGATGGGAGGTGGGGTGGGGGTGGAAAGTGTGGGTGGTACTGAAGGGAGATAGGCTGTGTTCACTCCCCCACTTTTGCTGATTATGCACCTTGGGCCACTCACTTGCCATATTTATGCCTCAGTTTCCCCATCTGGCGCTAAATGAGTGTTGCCAGTCATGCAGTGTCTATTTAGATGATGCAGGCACATATGAAATGTCCCCAAGTGGCCAGAAGTCCCTGCTAGGGGATTTCCTATTCCTGGAGTCTCCCCAGACCCCCCACCCTATCGAGCTGTGTACTCACCCTGGGCCTGGGGATGGGCGGCCTCGGGGGTAGGAGTACCTGTGGAATCAGCTACTGGCTGGGCCTCTCCTGCTGAGCTGTGAGCGTTGGCCACCAGGTTCCGGGCAGAACTGAAGCCAGGCAGGAACCCCAAGAAGTTGCTCAGGGTCTATGTGGGGAGGGGACAGCATGAGCAGGCTGGGCTGAGATGGGATGGGGTGGGGGAAAGCATCAGACAACCCTGGGCTTCCACACCTCTCAGGCTCTTGTTTTTGCGTGACTTTGAGTTTCAAGCCTCAGTTTCCTAGTCTGGACAATGGGCAGATGCAGCCGGCCTCCCATGGAAGGAGGAAAAGGTCCTCCTTTGAGTCTCCAAGGCCTTCTTCCACAGCCCCCATTTCACAAATGGGGAAACTGAGGCTGAGAGAGGTGCTGTGGCTAGCCGAGGGTCACAAAGTAGGAAAGGAGCTGAAGTCTGCCCCCACCCCCAGCTTGGGACAGGAGGGAAGAGTTAGCACCTTGGCTCTCAGAGCCCACCCACCCCAGCCAGAAAACTCCCAGATCTGAGGACTGTGGTGGTCACCTTTGCAAGGTTCTGGGGGTCGCCAGGCCTTAGCAGGGATCTCCCCCTCCCATACCTCTCCTCACCTTGCCCTTGGGTTTGTGGGGCTTCCGGCCTCCTTCCTCTTGAGCAGACATGTTAATACTCTAAGCAGCTGGGAGGGGGCAGAGATGGTTCATAAATGGGGTTCCCATGCCTCCTGCCCCTCACCCATAGCCCCCAGACTTTCCCTGACACCCACCTGGAGACCTTGCCTCACCCTGGCATTGCTCACCTGGACTGCGAGAGGGTCTTTTGGAGTGACTGGCGGCGCAGCTGGCAGCTGGCTCTGCTTTCAGCTCCCAGGCCTTATAGGGTCTGGGGCAGGCGCAGGCCTGGCCTGCAGAGGCAGGCAGCCAGCCTGCTGGGGGAGGGCCCTGGAGGGTCACGTGCCTGCCTGCCCTGCCCAGCTTGCATGGGCCCCGGGCCCAGCACCTTTCCCCTGCTCTCAGTACTGGGCCACCTCTGCCCACAGCACCCGCCCCACCAAGCTGAGTGATTCCCAGGCCATCCTATGTTCCTGAGACACAGCCTATATGCCCTCTTGGTCTATTCTTTCCATCCATGAGATGGACATGGTTCAAATCTCAGTTCTGGGATGCCTTGGCTGCAGTTTCCCCTTCAGACTCCTCACTGGCCCACAGTGTTGTGCCCTTCATTTCCCCTGGCTCTTGCCTCTTTGATCAGTCCAGCCACAGGGGCCTCCTTGCGATTTCTCCAAATCTTTGGGCATGGTCCTGCCTCAGGGCCTTTGCATGGGCTATGTCTTCTGCCTATAGCACTTTCCCCCAAACATCCACATAGCTCCCTCCCTCCCCGTGTTCCCTGCAATAGAACAGTACCTGGCACACAGTTGGCACTTAATAAATGTTTGATTAAATGGGCCAACTCATAGGGTGGTTGTGAGTGTGCAATGAGGTCACACATGTAACCTGTTTATCCCTGTGCCTGGTACCCAGCAGGTGCTCAGCAGACATTAGCTTAGCATGGTCCAGGCAGAGAGGAGCAGCGTCTGTCCTCGGCAGGGATGGGACATGTCACTCTCTGGAAGGGACTTCTCTTGAGAAAGGGGACAAAACAGACCAAAACAGCTCCAACAGAGTCTGGAACATAGGATGGCTTGTGACTCACTCAGCTTGGTGGGGGCGGGTGCTGTGGGCAGAGGTGGCCCAGTACTGAGAGCAGGGGAAAGGTGCTGGGCCTGGGGCCCATGAGAAGTAGGCCTGGTAGGCTCAGGCCAATCCAAGGTGGCTTCCTGGAGGAGGTATTTTGTACCTAAGGCCAAAGAGCCAGGAAGTGGCAGAGACAGGATTTAGACCCAGACCCTGAGCCTGTCTGTGGATGGGTGCCCAGATGAGCAGAGGAGTGACTGCCATGCCCTTCCTGGCCTGCCCCTGAAACAAGGATCACAGTCATGCTGGTGGGGGTTGGGAAAGATCCAGCTGGTGGCTCAGGGCTCTGAGCTGGGAGAAGGGAGGGTCCTGCTGTTGGGCCTGATGATCCTCAGGTTGTCTCCTTGGAGTCAAACAGTCAAGGAACAAAAGGGGATTCCCCAGCTTCTCTCCTTAGCCAACACTTCCTAAAGGTGACATTGCAGGCTTGGGGAGCTGGATCCTGGGTGTGTCCCTCCCCCCAGCAAAAGTAATAAAAATGGCCCGGCCGGTGTGGTTCTGGTTGAGCATCGACCTATGAACCAGGAGGTCACGGTTCAATTCTCAGTCATGACACATGCCTGGTTTGTGGGCTCGATCCCCAAGTGTGGGGCATGCAGGAGACAGCCAATCAATGATTCTCTCTTATCGATGTTTCTATCGCTCTCTCTCCTCCCTTCCTCTCTGAATCAATACCAAGTCAGGTTTTGTCCCCTTTCTGGCCACAGCTCTCCAGGGCTCCCACCTCCCTTGGCCCAAGTTCTCCCTGTGGCCCATAGGCCCTTTATGACTTGCCCCTGTCCTCTCCCTGCCTTCATGTACTCCCCCCCCCCACTCTGCTCCAGCCACACAGGCCTCCTTGCTGTTTCTCCAACAGGCCAGGCAAGGTCCTGCCCCGGGGCCTTGGCACAGGCTGTGCCTTCTACCTGGAATGTTCTCCAGTCTTTGCTCATATGTCACCTCCTCAGAGAGGCCTTTCTGGAACCCCTCTTTTATTTAAAAATATACATCTCTCCTCAAATGCCTACATACTACCCATTGTCCTCCCCTTTTATTTTTCTTATTCTACTAACACTAAAAATAGTAATTTACTTATTTTTCTTGTACATTGCCTGTTTCATACTGTATTGTCAGGTCATAGAGGGGTGGGAATTTTATCCATTTTGTCACTGCCATGTCCCCAAGGTGGAGAACTGCCTAGCACACAGCACGTGCTTTATAAGTACAGGTTGTTCCAAAAAAATGTTTACACACTTTTAACAGCTGATAGCTCAATTGATGTTTCTTTTCAGATTTAACCCATTGGAATTAGTAATTATTCAAAGTGTGTATACATTTTGGGGGATACCCTGTATTTGTTGAATGAATGAGTGAATAATAGCTTCTGTGGGTGAGGTGTTTACTAGGATTGGGCATGACTTAACCCATTTTTCAGAGGAGAAACATGTTTAGAGAGGAAAAATAAGTTGCCTAACCACCTGCAGGCAAGGCTGGGACTCAGCCCCAGGGCGACAGGGAGCCAGGCGGTTCCGAGCAGGGGCAGGGAAGTGAATCTGACCAGTGGGAAGTGGTCAGGGCTCCCAGAGCTGCCCCTGGGCTGGGTCCCAGGGAAGCCAGGGGCCATCCTGACCTCACCGAATCATGCTATGGTTTCCCAACACCCTGCCTGGCCACTGGGGAGTCTGAGGGGCAGCCAAGAATGTGGTCAGAAGATGGGAAGGCCCCCATGAGACTGACCCATGGCCCTTGCCCTGTCTCTGTCTCCCCAGTCCTGATCAGTGGAGAAACGACGGCAAGATCAGCAACGGTGGGTGCAGGGAGGTGGGCATAGGAGGACTGACCCCTCTAACTTCTTTCTCCTCAAGATCCTGCTCCCTGCAGTTCCAAGACATTCATTTATACTAGTGTGAACTTTCACTCCAGGAAGCTACATCTGAGCGCAATGCTTAAGCCAGGTGGGCTGGACACTGAAGGTGGAAGTACAGACAGGATGGCAAGCGGGAGGGAGGGGTTGGGGGGGAGTGGGCATCACTCCTTTCAAATCTCGAACCCTGGCTTGTGTCATACAGTCACACCTCTGAGGCCCCCCGGGCACCCTGTAACTGAGACTCACTCCAGCCAGAACAGAGGCCATGGGCCTTTGAACAACACGAAGCACCTTTATTCTGGAGAGCATACCCCAAACAGCAAAGCAAGTGGGTCCGGCTGGCCCAGTTGGTGCAGCCCGGCATCTTTGGGGACCCCTCAGTCCAGGATGTACAAGCTGGGGGAGCAGGTGGATGCTTGTTTTTCAAAGCCCCAAATAGAAGCCACTGGGCAAAATGTGTTTCTCTGAGGAGCTTTGATCAGCTTCTTGGGGTGAGGAACAGGTGACTACAGACAGAGGAATCCAGCTGGAGACTAGTCAGACCTGAGTTAGGTTCCTGTCCTCATATGTCCAAGGGGAAGATTGGGAAGGGTCTGATGTCAGAGTAGCTGGTCCAGAGTCAGAATTCCACGGGAACCCCCAACTCCGTGCCTGGGCCAGGGTAAAGGCATTGGTTGTTGTGCTTCTGTGTGGCCCCTAGAGGGCAGCAGGCTATGGAAGTGTAGGGCAGCCTCCTGCTGCCACTGGCAGTGAGGCCCCACGGGATCAGAAGTCCAGCTCTGGCATCAAGGTGTGTTTGGGGCGACTGGGGGGCTCAGGCTCCTCCGGAATGTCCTCTGGGAGACCTAGCCCATTCCGGTGCTGGGCCTGCCAGGCTCTCTGCTGGGCCGGCCAGTCCAGATGCGCCCAGCGGGGGTCAGGGCCCCCCACGATCTCGTCCACCAGGTTCTCCAGGCCAGGTGGGGGCTCCGACCGCTCTATGAGGATGGGCGAAAAGGGCCCCACGAGCCAGGGCAGCGGCATGGTCTGCACCACCAACTCTAGCAGCTCGTCCACGCAGGCATGGGCCCGAGCCACTCTGCCCCGGCCCTCGGCCAACGCCGAGGCTGACACATCCCTGAAGCAACGCGCGTCAGCGAAGGCCGCCTGCAGGGTGTCCACGCTGCGCCGCACCTCGGCCACCTTCTCCTGGGCATCCCGGGGCAGGCCCCGCACGCTGGTTTCCAGTGCGTCCACTGAGCTCTGTAGCTCCCGCATCAGACTTCGGGACAATACCAGTGTTTCCAGCTCCACCTGGGGAGGGGAGGCAAGGGGGGCCTCAGTGTTCCAGATGGACACATGCTGAGACGGCTGTCCTGCCTCAGTTTACTCATGGACACACCGCGACTGTCACCCTGCCTCAGTCTCCCCATAGGTACACACTGGGACCGAGCCCTACCTGTTTTCCCATGGACACAATGGTATTGCCACCCCCCGTCTCAATCTCCCCATGGACACAATGGGACTATCTCCTTGCCTCTTTTTCACCCATGGACACAACGAGACAGCCCTGCCTCCCAAAAGTAGGAATCGGGAAGGTTTCCCTCAAAGACCCACAAAGAGACTTTCCCTGCCTCAGTTTCTCTAATGGATACCCAACAGGACCGCATCACCCTGCCTCAGTTTCCTCCCTGCACACAATAGACCAAGCCCTGCCTTAGTTTCTCCTGTGGGCACCCAATAGGACTGTCAACTTACCCCAGTTTCCCCATAGGCACTCCAACCAGCTACCTCAGCAGTTGGTTATTCATAGCTCAGTCATGGCCCCTGGCAACCCCAGGTGGGTCCAGAACCACTCCCATCCTACCGTCCTACCTGACTACGGCGGCGGCCGTTCTCCAGGGTGCTCAGACTCCAGTCCCCCCACAGCTCGTGCACTTTCCCAGGGCGGGCTGGGGTGGTGGGGGTCATCCCACACTGCACGAGGTCAATCTGTGGGAACCGGAAAAGTGTTCATCAGAGGTGGAGGACCTGGGGGGTCGGGGGAGCCGGGACGGATCCTAGCTTGCATCCGGCCTCAATAAGCATTTCGGGAACACTTGCTGTGTGCGGCCTTCTGCACCCGCTGACCCAGCCTGGAGCCTGTTCATTGAATCCTCTGCCTCTGGCTGACCCTGTGACCTGTGGTTCTCCTGAAGCTCAGACTCACCGCCAGGCATGTGCTCATGCTGGTCCCTCAGCCACGTACACTCTTCCCTCCACCTCATCTCCCCCGCTGGTTCATTCCAGTTCAAGTCTCAGTGTGGACATCACCCCCTCCAGGAAGCCCTCCCTCCTCCCCTTCTGGCTGGGTGATCCCTCCTCTGGGTCCCAGAGCACCTGCCGTGTTCCCCGTTTTGACCCTGATCCCCTGACTGGCCTGTGAGTGTCCTGAGGAGCACTGTGTCTTCAGTACCCAGGACAGGGCATGTGTGAAAAGATGAATAGAAATAAATTGTGGCCCATCCATACGGTGGAATATTATTGAACCCTAAAAAAGAAGGAGGTTCTGATACATGCTACAAAATGGATGAACCTTCAGGACATTGTGCTTAGGTGCTCACAGGTGCCCTCTGTTGGCTGCTGTGGGAGGACAGACGGGTCCAGGAGGAGAACTGGGTGACGGTGTGCAAGCATGAGAGCTGGAAGCAGGTGGATGGAGGAAGCAGAGGGAGGAAATGTGGGCAGATTCAGGATAGACTGAGGGCAGAGCTGACAGTATGGCTGATATGTCGGATGAGGGAGGGTTTGAGAACACGGAGCTGCTGGCGATGGAGATGAGAGGGATGTGGGACAGGCAGGCTGCGGCATCTGCACTTAGCCCAGTAAGCAGGGGCTGCCATGCTCCTTTGGAGCAGGGAGGGATGGACAGTGAGACAAGAAGCTGGGTGTGTACTGGAGCCTAAAGGGTGCAGAGGATTGGAATTGGTGGCAGGAGAGCGAGGGAAGAAGTACCTTCTCCCTCTCCAGACCTACCTTAACTGCCTATAAATTCCAGCTCCTACTTCTCCACAAAACCCCTTCTTTACTCCCCAGGCTGAGTCTCGCTCAACACCCCGTAAGCTCCTCCAGCCCCAGGCCCCCTCTTCCCCAGCCCTGAACATGCACAGCTAGAGGCAGCTGAGACCAGTTCTGCCTCCCCCTTCAGTCTAGCACGGGACCAGGTACTCGGCTGGCGTTCAATCCATGCTTACTGGCCAGCATTACAGCGTGGGGGCAGGCAGAGGGCTCTCACCAGCTCCAGTGTCTCCTGCAGCTGGGCCAGTGTGTCCTGGGCATGATGTTTCTTCTGCCTCAGTTTCCCCAGAGAGTGCTCATATGCCAGGTGGCGGAGTCGTGTTGACAGGGAGCCCAGGCGCACAAAGTAGCCCTGATGTCTCCTCTGCTGTTCCACTGAGCCCACTTCCGGGCCCTCAGCCTCAGCCGCCAGTGCCGCTGGAGGGCAGGATGGGGGAGAGGGGGTCAGTGTGGACACCCCCTCCATGTCTGTTCACCCTCCTTCTGGGTGGACAAGCTCATGGGCTCCCAAATTTGTAGTTTCCCTTTACCAAATTCAACTCTCAATATTCCCTAAACCCTATGATGTAGGCACTATTATTAGCCCCATTTCACAGATGGGGAAAACTGAGGCAAAGAGGTGAAGTCCCACAGTGCCAGAAGCAGAACCAGGATTCAAACCCAGGCACTCTCACCGCCAGTGGTTCTCAACCTTCCTAATGCCTCGACCCTTAAATACAGTTCCTCATGTTGTGGTGACCCCCAATTTCATTGTTACAAATTGAACATAATTAAAGCATAGTGATTAATCACAAAAACAATATGTAATTATATATGTGTTTTCCGATGGTCTTAGGCGACCCCTGTGAAAGGGTCGCAACCCACAGGTTGAGAACCGCTGCTAGACTGTCCTTAACCACTCTACTAAACTGCCTCTTAAAGAATATATCACAAGTGCCTGGAACACAGTCAGTGCTTCATAAATGCCTTACAGCCTTTCCGCTGAGGACAAAGTATGTCAGTATGTTCTTCTAGTGCCAGAGCAGGGGTTGAGAAGTCAGATCGACTCCAGGGCCAGCAGACAGTATTAGAACATAGAAAGGTGGGCTTTAAGGGGGCAGATGCTATTCAACCCAAGTGTCTAATTTTTCAAGGCAAGCCAGAAATTGGGATTTGTAGGGCAAAATCTGATTGTTAAGTGCATGCAATGAATTAAAACATTTAAAAGGCATTGTACATGTCAGATAATACAATTAGGAGGGCTACAGCTCTCTCAAGTCTTTAAGCCACTTATGCCCTTGGGGTCTGGCCTGTCTGGTTTCTAGTAGGATGAGGGCTGGGGGGCCATGGAAGTGGAGAGGGAGGGCGGGCCGGGCTCTAGCTCCATGTTCCTGCTGATCTGTTGTGGTCGAGTGAGTCCTGAACCTCTCTAATCCGTTTGGGTTTTTTTGTTAATCCTCACCCAAGGATATTTTTCCCATTGATTTTTTTAGAGAGCATGGAAGGGAGGGGGAGAGACACACAGAGAGAAACATGGATGTGAGAGAGAGACATCGATTGGTTGCCTCCCACACGCACCCCTATGGGGCTGGGGACTGAGCCTGCAACCAAGGTACGTACCTTTGACTGGAATCGAACCCATGACCCTTCAATCCCCAGGCTGATGTTCTACCCACTGAGCCAAACAGGCCAGGGCACCTCTCTAATCTGTAACCTCTGGGGATGGGGACTGGGCAGGAGGATTCGGGGGCAGGTGGAGAGGACACCAGCCTCACCGAGTTCCTCCTCAGTCATGGGCAGGAAGTGGTCCACCAGCTCCTCCGACTTGCCCAGCACGACGTCCACCGCGTGGCTCATGGAACGCTTCAGCTCCACGCTCCAGCGCCGGCCCTGCCGTGCCAAGCCCGCCATGCCTGTCATACTGCTGGCCACTGCATCCTTGGCTGAGGTCACCACCTGGTGGGACGGACCCCGATCCAGGTGCTGTCAGTTTTCAGCTCCCTTCCCTGGCTCCTGGGGCTGGGGGTCAAGGACCCCTGGCCCTTTCCCAGCTCTAGGTCTCAGTTCCCCTGTCTACAAATTGGAGGAAAATAAAATCTCTCCCTCACAGGGTGGCCAAAGGGGTTACCAGCACATACTGGCACATAGTAAGTGCTAGATAAATATGGGTGCCGATTATTTTTTTAAAACACATTTTTATTGATTTTTTTAGAGAGAGAGAGGAAAGGAGAGGGAGAGAGAGAAACATCAATGTGAGAGTGTAACATCGATCAGCTGTCCTGCACACCCCGCACAGGGGATGGAGCCCACAACCCAGGCATGTGCCCTGACCAGGAATCGAACCAGCAACCTTTCGGTGCACTGAATGATGCCCAGTCAACGGAGCCACATCAGCCAGGCTGGGTGCTGAGTACTCTCATCTGTGTGGTGTTTTTTGCGTTGACCAAAGCCCGATTTGGCCCCAGAGTCCAGCTGGCAGAGTTGTTCTGGCTGGGTCTGGGGGAGGCAGCCCTCCTCCCTCCCACTTCCACCCCCTGCAGATCCCCATGATCTGAGCCATACCATCTCCGAAGGTTGCTGGAGAAAGGGTAGCTTCTCCTCCAGCTTGTCGAGGCCCCTGCAGGCAAGATCGTTCACTGTAGCCACTGGAGAGAGAGGGAGAGACAGGGAGTGAGAATCTGGGAGATGATGAAGGAGAGGGACACAGAAGGAGGGAATACTACAGGGAGAAGCAGAGAAAAAAGAAGGGAGAGAGGGAGAGAGACAGATAGGGAGAGATGAAGGGAGGCCTTCGTGAAAGGGGTGACCTGGCTGATTCCCTGAGGGGCTGGAGACCCTGAGGGCGTGGTGGGCCCCCAGGCCGGGCCCTGCCTCCTCTGCTTTCCCCACCTCTGCCCTGCCACAGACTCCTGCCAGCGCCAAGGTGACTCCACACCCACGCTCAGCGCAGATGCCCCAGGGGAGCAGGCTCAAGGTCACTGAAGCCAGCTAAGAGGAAGGTGGGGAGGCCCCTGGGCTGGGACCCTCAGGGTGGCCCCCCTTCTGGGAGTCAGGAGTCTCTGTCCCCACCCCCATCAGGTTGTCAGGTTGGACTCCCGAGCTGGTCACAGGTCTAGGAAGATACGGGGCTCCGGATAGGTGGGGGCAGCCCTCAGGACAAGGGGGCAGACGGGGAAGGGAGGTTGGACAGGTAAAGGGGGCCCAAGGCCTAACAGGCCAACCAACAAGGGAGGAGAACTTCACGACAGATGGAATGCGACAGGAGGAGGGGCCACAAATAAGCTGCTACGGGCAGATGATGACCAGGATGTAAGACATAACATGCCAACAGGTAGAGGGGAGGGGCAGGCAAAGAGGGACTGGGAGATGGCACCGACACAAGGACTGAGCAAGGATGACACAGGTGGTTTTGGGGGGGGGGGGAGAGGCAGTCAGACTAAAGGCACAGGACAGGTAAGACTGAGGAGGGACACCCAGGTCAGGGAGTCCACACTTCAGGCCATGCCATGCGGATGGAGCATGAGAGGGTGAAACCATGAGGCAACCACAGGACTGTCTGGCCAGGGGGACTCACGCTGAGGCTGCAGGTGGCTGAGCAGTGGCTGGGCGTGGTCCAGGGCGCTGGTGGTGAGGCTGCACACACAGTGCTCAGCCAGGCGGCAGGCAGAGCCCAGAAGCGGGTGTCTATCCTTGGCCGCGCTGTAAGCATCAGAGACAGCAGTGCACGTGGCCTTGACCAGGGGCAGGGCCACCACTCGGTGGACCACGTTCTGTGGGAAGGGGTGCAGTCAGAGGGGCCCCCAGGGAGGTGGGAGGCTCAGCCTCACTTTAGCCCACTTCCTCCCTAGGGGCCAGACGGGGGGTGGGCCAGAGGCCTGGGGAAAGCATGTGGAGCGCCTGGCTGTGGACAGTAGAGGAGCCCACATGAAGGTGCTCCCAGGCTCCTGTTGTCAGTAGCACACACACAGCGTGGCAAGTTCTGAGTCTGGTGGCTTTAAGGGTACATGCCTCTGGGGCAAAACTGTCTGCATTCAGCTCTGGTTAGGCCACCTCTGAGCTGTGTGAGCTTGGGCAAGTGAGTGAACTGCTTTGCTTGGTGCCTTCGTGTCTCATCTGTAAAATGGGTTTCTGGGGCTGTGATGGGAATTCTAGGAGCCAATGTAGGTGAAGTGCTTGGAACAGTGACTGATGCAGGGTGGGTGCTGTGAGTGCTGCTATCATTGTTGCTGATGAGAGTGCCACGATGGTGGACACAGAAACAGGGAGATGGAGGCGGAGACCCTGAGGTGGGAGGGGGAAGGTTGGGCAGAGGCCAGGTAAGCCAGCTGGGTGTGCTTGAAGAAATGCTCCCCTCCCAGCCTCACTGTGTCCCTCTGGGAAATGGGTAGGAGGTGCAGCGATGCCAGCCTCCATGGTCCAACATGCCCTAAGAGTGAGGTGCTCAAAGCAAAGATAGAGGTGGGGGGTACCCAGCTGTTCAGGGAGGGACTGTTCCCCTCCCTTCCCCATGTGCTGCTCCGTAGGAGGTGCAGCCCCTCACCTGCTGGTCCTGCTCCCACAAGCTGGGTGGGTGGTCCTGAGCCGCCTCATCTTCTGACATGCCTGCTGCAAATAGGGTCACCTTGGGGGACAGAACAGAGTGAAGGGGGCCAGCCCACCAAGCTCCCTCCCACGCCCTGGGTTCTGTCTGTCTGGGCTCTGTGACTCCAGCAAGTCTTGTTCCTTCTTGGGGCCTCAGTCTCCTCCTCCAAAAAGTGAGGTAATGGTAATACCCTACTTCAGAATGTCATGAGGAGCACAGACAGTGCACAAGACTCTGCACACAGTAGGTGCACACTAGAGAGCCTCTGGCAAAGTGGGGCCCCTGTAGTGATTGAAAGCATGGGCTTAGGGTTTCAATCCTGTCGTTACCTGCTGTGTGACTTTGGACAAGTGCCGTCACCTCTCTGGGCTGTTTCCTCTTCTGCAAAGCAGGGGAGGTCCCTGGTGCCCCTACCCTGGACAGAACTGCACGAGCAGCCCCATACAGCGATGCAGGCCGTAACTGCAGAATCCCAATAAACCCAGTCAGATCGACAATCGGGGAAACCGAGGCACACAGGGGTCCATGCTGCGCTCAAGGTCACTCAGCTTAAGCTGACTCAGAGCAGGGAGTTTGACCTCAGACTCCCCGCCTGCAGGTCATCCCTACCCCGTGCCTGCAGAGCTGTGGTCCCCGCCCAACAGGGTCCTGAGCTTCAGCCAACTGGGCCAAGGGTCTCAGCCACCTGCTCCAGCCCGTCACCCCCTCCTCTCCCCACGCCGCTGAACCCTCGCCTGCCCACCCAGTTCGGGCCCCCAGGCCTGCTGGGTGCTCTTGGACGCCACCCGGGTGACACTCACCTGGGCGCGCGCAGCCTCAGCCCCCAGGTACTGCCGCGGACCCCAGACTCTGGCTCCAGTCTCCGCCCTCTGCCGGCCCCGCCCGCCTTATAGTGGCTCTGGAGGCGGAGCCTCCTGGGATTGACCAATAGGGAAAGGCTGCCCAGGGGCGTGTCAGGGGTGGGGCTTCAGGACCCCACGCTCTTGAGCCCTTGTGCTCCCGAGTACTGTGCGGTTGCCAAAGCAACTTGGGGATGGTGGATGCCCCCAAATTGAGCTACTTCCATAGGCCAAGTTTGGCCACTTGTCACCCTCGCTGCCTTGAGGGGCGGGGGTGGGGGTGGGGGTGGGGGTGGGGCGGCCACAACTCCCACCTCCTTCTCCAGTGACCTTGGGCAAGTCCTTCATGTCTTTCTATTTTTAAAAAATGTTTGTTTATTTAGGAGAAGGAGAGGGAGAGAAAGAGAGAGAGAGAAACGTTGATTTGTTGTTCCACCATCTATGCCTTCATTGCTTGATTCTTGTATGTGCCCTCACTGCGGATTGAACCTGCAACCTTGGCATATCAGGACAATGCTCTAACCAACTGAGTTACTGGCCAGGGCTCTTTCCATTTTTTTTTTTAAATCTACCACTTAACCAGGAGCCAAACTGGCCCATTCTCTGAGATCCCCATTTTACAGATGAGCAAATTGAGGTTCAGAACACTTAAACCACTTGCCCTGGGTCCCACAGTGACTGACGGATTTGATTTAAATTCAGTCAAATCAAGCTCCAGGCCCTGGCTTTTTCATCTTCACGCCTGGAATGATCACCAATGTGGTCATGATACTCCTTCCAGGGGGCTGAAAAAACCGAGCACGGCCCAAACACCCCGGGCCCCCCAAATCTGACCCTGGCCCCACTATGCCCAGCATTGTCAGCAGGTGGCTCTAGGTCCTGAGTTCTGAGAGCACAGCCCTGGCTTCTGCCCATGCTTGTCCTGGGCGGCTGCGCCCTGGGCTATCACTGGCCAGCATGACGAATTGTTTGGAGACCTGAAGCAATCTGGTTTAATTTAAACCTTCCCCAGGGCACAGGCCCTGGCAGGAATCCACCAGTAAAATGACACCCCGGCCAATAGTCAGAGTTTTATTTCCAGTTAAGCCTCAGGATAGGAGAGAGGAGGAGGAGGAGCCACAGGTCTTCAGATTTCCAGTCCAGCACCCCACACCCTGTCATGCCTATTTCCTCCTTCATCCTGGAGAAGTAGGAAGTTGACTTGGGAGATGCAGGAACACCGTAAATGCCAATTTGTCCAATTCCGTTTGACATTTATTTTTATTTTTAAAAATATTTTACATTTTATTTTATTTTTATTGATTTCAGAGAGGAAGGGAGAGAAAGAAACATCAATGATGAGAGAGAATCATTGATTGGCTGCCTCCTGCATGCCCACTACTGGGGATCGAGCCCGAAACTCGCATGTGCCCTTGACCAGAATTGAAGCTGGTACCCTTCAGTCCCTAGGCTGACACTCTATCCACTGAGCCAAACCAGCTAGGGCTGACAATTATTTATTAACCCCCTCGGGTCTGACACCTAACTGAGTGAGACACCTCAGCCCCAGGCCCTGCACTCAGAGAGCCCCCCAAAAGTGGGGGAGCCAGAGTCAGAGACAGCCCCAGTGTGGCCAGGGTTGTGCTGAGGGAGCTGGGTGATCAAGAGATGTGGGAAACGGGAAGGCATTCCTGGAAGAGGAATGAGCAAAGCTTGAGCAAAGGCAAGGCCGCCTGTGAGCCTAAGGGGTGTTTTGGGAAGCAGGGGCAAAATGGGTCTAGCAACTGTGGAAAGCCTTCCTCACCCTTAAAAGGGAATTAATTGCCTAATGGGGTGCAGTGTTCTGCCAGGCCGTTCCTATCCATCTCCACCCCAGCCTTAAGCTTCAAATGAGACATGGCCGCGGCCAGGAGTGTCTGGCCATGCATGGCTTTAGGCTCAACGCAGTATGTGTTATTCCGGAAGAACATCTTGTCTTTATTGCACACAAGCCACTCATAGAAGTCGTCCAAGATCTGGTCGCAATTCCAGGGGTTACCAGAGATGTCAAAGCCATCCTTCATGTCCCGGCCTGCCCCGGGCCGCCCCACAGATGCCCAGAGCCCCTTGGGCCCGCTGCTCAGGGAGTTGTTGGACAGGTCCAGCATGTCCAGCTGCTTCAGACCTCGGAAGGCGCTGGCCGCCACCGTGGCCAGACGGTTGTCACTCAGGAAAAGGTAGCTCAGGTTTGGCTGGGGCTCCAGCAGGCCCTCTTCGAGTGCTTGCAATCTGTTGCCCTCCAGGTGCAGCCGTTCCAACTTCAGGGGGCCCCTCAGAAGGTCAGAGGGCAAAGACTCCAGCTGGTTATTGCCAAGGTCAAGGATGCGCAGGTCGGAGAGGTTGGCCAGCAGCCCGGAGGGTAGTGTCCGGAGGTGGTTCCCGGACAGGTCCAGATGCCTCAGGGCTTTCAGGCCTTGCAGCCACGAGGTTTCCAGGACTTCCAGCTGGTTTTGATTCAGCACCAGGGTGTGGAGGGCGGCTGAGCCCTGGAAGAGGCCGGGGGGCAGCTGGGTCAGGGCGTTGCCGGTTAGATCGAGGACCTTCAGCTGAGGCACAGGCAACAGAAACTTGGCTGACAGCGTCTCCAGCCCGTTGCTGGAAAGGTGCAGTTCCTGGAGGTTAGGGATGCCCTGGAGGGTCTCGGGTGGCAGCTGGGTGAGGTTGAAGAACTCCACAGACAGGAAGATGGTGTCGGCTGGGAGCTGCCGGGGGAATTTGGCAGGTGGGTAGCAGTTGACGGAGCTGCCATTGCTTGACTGGGACACCCGGCAGGCTTCAAGGTTTGGGGTGACCCCGTGGACTGAGGGGGCCACAATTAGTAGCAGCAGGAACAGGGTTCTAGAAAGATGGGGATCCAGGACCCCTGGGCTGGAGGCAATGACAGAAGGTGCTTAATGAGGCAAAATAAAAATATACCCAACTCAGCGAAAATATACCCAGAAAATGTCCTTCTTCCTATCCACTTTTGCTCCCCGGAACCATGCCTCCTCATTGCTCCTCTGGACTAGTGCACTTACCTCCTCCTCCTCTTCATGTTTTGAAGGCAGAGCCAGTGAACTCCTACCCATCCTGCAAAGCCCCCAACTCCAATGCCCCGTTTTTCACAAGACTTTCTCTGACTTTCCCAAGCAGAACTCATGGGTTCCTCCCCTGTGCTCCTACTCTTTCTTTCCAACCCTGACTAAACAAGGTCCGGTTATCTGTCCAGTTCCATCTTGCTTCAAGCACCCAGGTACAAGCCAGGGCTCCGAGTGCAAATGGGACTTTGAACATGAAAAATGCCCAAAGCAAAATGAATACATAAATAAATAAGTGCCCAAGCAGGCTCGGGGGCAGGCATTTGGCCTTGCTATTGGATGGTTTGCAGTTGGCACTGTAACCCTTGAAGGGCTGGGGCTTCTGCTGCTCCCGGTCCCCCTCCAGCAGGCCTCTGAGGCCGGGGGTGGGTTCTCAGTCCCTGCCTGGGAGGTCTGCAGGTGAGTGTGAGTAAGGGAGCAAACCTGTCCTAGTTAGAGCCTGAGTGTTGGTCTGTTCCAGCCAGGAGGCCTACGCCTGGCCCTGTGATTTCAGTGGGTCAGACGGACTGTCCAGGCACTGCCTGGTGTCCAAGCCTGCCCAGGAACGGCAGGGTGGGGACCTACCTCTGGTTTCCTCTGGGCTCCAAGAGGACATGGTGGCCTCTCTCTTTTCCATCCAGATTCCTTTGGTCTGCTGAGGTGGCCTTATACCTACCTGGGCTGGGGCAGGGGCACCAACCATAGGGAAGTCCCCACCCACCCACATCCTGTTCCCGATAGGACCTGAACTTGAGCCAGGCACAGGAAAGGGAGGAGTCAAGGTTACAAAATTGCTTCCTGGCAGGGGGAGGACAGCAGAGGGGCTGCCCACCCCTTCTGTCCCTGTGTTTGTCCAGTTTTCCTTCCCCTGATTCCTGCTATTGGAAAGTGGGCACCCAGAGTCTCTGGGAGTGCGTCCCCACTCCCCCCACCCCCCAACCCAGGAATCAAGGGTCAAGCTTGCGAGGTGCCAGGCCTGGAGGATGGGGACACGAGGTACTATTTGCGACACACTTGAGCAATCAGGAAGTGCAGTGATGAGAACAAAAAACACTTGTCGTGCGTTTATGACATGTTGTTGGATATATTTTTATTGAAATAATTTTTTAAAAATAGAATATAAAAGCGAGTGATGCCAGAAGTCTTTGAACAATGAGCTGGGAGGGACTAAACCTATTTCTGAATCCCAGCTGTGCCAGGACTGCTATGCTTTGTGACTGTGGCAAGTGGCTTAACTTTTCTTGGCCTCTGTTTCCCCATCTGTGAAGTTGAATTCAATCTCCAAAGCTCCCATCTGCTCTTTTTTTAAAAAAAAATTGAATTTATTGGGGTGACATTGGTTAATAAAGTTATATAGATTTCAGGTATTGCTCTTTCTTCATCCTAAGCTGATGCACCATTTGTTTTGGGTTGTTTGTTTACTAATGAATACATTAGGAGGCTATACATTTCCCTTTGAGAATGGCTTTGGCTGCATCTCATGGGTTTTGCTATTAAGTGCTTTCATTCTGGTTGAGTTCTAAAAATTCAGGTGTGTGTTGTTATCTTATCTGTTATGCCTGGCTATGGCCTCTTCTCCCTGCCCCATCTCTGAAGGGTTTGTCCCTACTCAGCTGTGATGATGACTGAGTTCTGTCTTAGAGACAGAACACACAGGCTCAGAGATAAACACACAGGTTGACAGTGACAGGCACAGATGAAGAATGAAAGATAGATACACACGAATCCACAGACATAGATACTGACAGAGATCAAACAAAAATACATAGACAGAACCTAACAGACACACGGACAGAGCAGGACACACAGGACAGAATGGCAGGCCTGCAGAGACAGCCACACAAAACAGGCACACACCAAAACGGGCAAAAGGCCTGAAGAGATATTTTTCCAAAGAAGACACACAAATGGCCAACAGATATATGAAAAGATGCTCAGCATCAATGATCATCAAGGAAATGCACATCAAAACCACCGAGAGATATCACTCACACCTGCTGGAATGGCTATTATCAGTAAGACAAGAAGTAACAAGTATTGGCGAGGATGTGGAGAAAGGGAACCCTGTGTTCTGTTGGTGGGAATGCAAATTGGTGCTACAGAGAACAATATGGAGGCTCCTCAGAAAATTAAAAAATCCATCAATTCCACTTCTGGGCATTTATTCAAAGTAAATGAAATCACCATCTTTAGATATCTGCTTCCCCTTGGTTACTGCAGCATTATTCACACACACACACACACACACACACACACACACACACACACACACACACTTCAGCCATAAAATAAGACACAAATCCTGCCATTTGCAACAACATGGACGAACCTTCAGGGCATTATGCTAAGTGAAATAAGTCAGATGGAGTGAGGCAAATACTGTGTGATCTCGTGTATATGTGGAATGTAAAAATGAACTCATAGGCACCGGTGGTAGGATGGTTCTCATCAGGGGCTGGGGCTGGAGGGCAATGGGAAGGAGAGATGTTGGCCTAAGGGTACAAACCCGCAGTCACGAGTAATTTCTGGGCCTCTAATGCACAGCACGGTGACTGTTGTTGATGATACTGTATTGTGTACTTGGCAGTTGCTAAAAGAGTAGATCTTAAACGTTCTGCTCATACACTAAAAGGTAACTGTGGCCCTAGCCGACTTGGCTCAGTGGATAGAGCGTCAGCCTGCGGACTGAGGGGTCCCAGGTTCGATTCCGGTCAAGGGCACATGCCTGGGTTGCGGGCTTGATCCCCAGTAGGGGGCGTGCAGGAGGCAGCCAATCAATGATTCTCTCTCATCATTGATGTGTGCATCTCTCTCTCCTTCTCCCTTCCTCTCTGAAATCAATAAATATATTAAAAAAATAAAAAAATAAAAGGTAACTGTGTGAGGTAATGGATGAGTTCATCTCATTGTGGTGATCATCCTACAATATATCCGTACATCAAGTCATCAAGTTGCGTACCTGAAACTTACACAATGTTATATGTCAATTATAGCTCAAGCTGGAAAAACAGACACACGCAGGTTCAGGAGGAGCTGTTAGATGCCGTCAGAGTATTTGTGTTTCTTTATTATCAGTTTCCCCCCATGTCAAGAAGAAACCAGGTTTGTCTTGTTCACACAGTAGGTGCTTAATTGACATGGGCTGGAAGGGAGGGCTGTGAACTGTAATGACATAACAGATCATGTACCCTGCTTAAAACCCTCCGGTGGCTCCCTGTCCAACTTAAAATCCACAAGGCTGGGCGAGTGGAACTTAAAATCCACGAGGCTGGGCTTTAATGAGGACGGGGGTTTAGTTTTTAATGAGGACGGGGGTTTAGTTTGGGAAGATGAGAAAGTGCTGGAGATGGATGGTGGGGATGGTTGCCCAACAATGTGAATGGACTTCATGCCCCTGAAGTGAACACTTTTAAAAAGGCTCAAATGGCACATGTGAATTTATGTGTATTTATGCATATTTTACCACAGTTAAAAAAAATTGTACTCCTCACCTGCGAGGCCCTGCCAATCTGGGGCCCTATCCTCTTCTCCCTCTTCATCGCCACCTGATCTTCCCTCACCCACTGCTCCAGCTACACTGGCTGCCACCTGTCCTCCAAGTGAATTCCCACCGCATGGCCTTTGCACTGGCTGTTCCCTCTGCCTGGAAGGCTCTATCTGCACATCTCTCCCAGGCTGTCCCATCTCCCCTGTCTCAGCTCAAATGTTACCCCTGGCAGGCCCTCCTTGACCCCCCTCCTCCACACACAGTTCCCCCTACTGAGCATATTATCTGGCTTTATTATATTACACATATTACTGCTACAAATCCAGCACTAATTGCTTGTATGTGGTCAGTTTCCCCACTAGGCTGTGAGCTCCTGAGGACAGGGGTCTTTGTCCCCACATAGTACCTGGCACATAGTAGGTGCACAATAAATATCTGCTGAAGGGCCAATCAGAAACTGGCCCCCATGCATATGAAGACAGGGACTCCCCCCAACTCTCTGCATTCCCCCTCTCAGCGCCCCAGAGTTCTGTTGGCTGCTGTGACCCAGCCATGAGTCTTGCGGGTGCTCCCAACTGTTCAGGGCCCTGCCACTGCCCAGGCCCCACCCCTGGGAGACAGAGCAGACCCAGAGCCTTGGGGGCCGGTGGTTGTAAACAGTTTTATTGATCGGGAGGGGGTTGGGGAGGCAAATTCCAGAGAGGGTCCAAGTCTCAGCTGGCCACTCAG